GTGGTCATTAACATACAATGCAAGAAGATTATTATTATTAATTAAGAATTAATAATTAATTAATTAATAATTACCTTAATCAATAATACTAATTTTGTTGCATTAGATGTTAATGCCCACTCTTGGATAATCCGTTCAAAAGAAATTGGTAACTTTCTTATATCTATGAATAGACCATAACCAAAATTCATTTAAATCGATAGATTTTAATATTACCAAAATGTCATAGCTTCCTTTGTTCTACGGACAGAACATTGACGTATGTCAAGCAAAAGTAATATTAAGTTTTCTTAAACATCTTTAAGATTTGAGATATCTATAAAGTCAACGATTTCAATTGGTAGACGAAGAAAAACAAACTTTGTTTCGCTAATGACCGATCGTACTTTGCGTGACGGAACTTGTGCGGCGCACTTGATATAATTAATCCGTCGTAATTCATTGGCACAATAAGAGCCATCACGCGAAGTCAGCATTGTTAGTCCCGTCGTGTGTAAATACCACTTAAGACGGAGCAAATAGGACTAATTGGGGATCGTATTCTGGCCCCGAACGTCGCAAATATAATTTCCTAATCCGTGACAGTTATGTTTCATTCGGCCTCCAAAACGTTTTATGTCCCTCTTATAGGGAACGCAAACTGTTCATTTTCTTATAATTAACAAGAAAATTCTGGAAAAGTACTTGTTCCTTGGGACTTCAATATCAAAATTAAAGTTGAAAATTTTTGAAACTTTCTTTTCCAAATAACTTGGTTTACCGAAACCTCTGTGGAAAAGCTCAAAAGAGTTTAGTTTGTAATTTTGATATTATATATATATATATATACATATATATATATATATATATATATATATATATATATATATATATATATATATATATATATATATATATATATATATATATATATATATATATATATATATATATATATATATATATATATATATATATATATATATGTATGTAAAAATTACTCTCAGAGTTTTTGGAAAATTTGGAAATATTTTCTCTTATTTGAATAAATGTATAAAAATCGCTACAAACTTTCTTTCTATATGCTTTTATAGTACTTTAAGTGAATTATATTGTTATTATTATTCGTATCATATTATAAAAAAATACAAACATTTCTAAATGCGCTGATAGTAACTACACTCTCAGTCAAGCATGACAAATGACGTGTCAAATGCTTTTAACCCTCTGAGCATAATTAATTTTTAAACGTTTAAGTAAAACGCCCTGCAAATGATAAATAAATTAAAATAAATGCAGTGTCATATTGTAAGAATAACAAAAGAACAAGAGATCCAGTGAACTATAGTCGTATAAAAGTTCATAGGCTGACAAAATTTAACGTCGCCTCAGATAAGCGACGCCCAAGTAAGAAAAATTATATTGTTATCAAATTTTTTGGTTTCCCATTTTAGAAGTTGCTAAAATTTTGGACAATTTTTTCTTAATTGTATAAGTGTATAAATCTATTTTTCTATTTTTATTTTATTATCAATATTATAATATTATAATCCAAAAAACAAAACATTTCTAAACTGAGAGTAAAGTTTCTGCATTAACTTCAAATAGTTTTCATGGTGTCGGAATTAAGCTCACTAAAATCCCTTTAAAAAAAATCAACATTTAAAAAAGATTTCAAGCCTTCATTAATAATGTTAAAAATGACATATAAAAAATAATATATTCCGCATTTGGTAGACTTACAACATTTAAATAACAGCCGTAACTTATATATTTGAACAAAAAGAAGGTAGAAAACATTTTTTCATACAATACCAAGAAGTCACCCAAGAAGTTGTACCAATCGGGAAAGGTACTCATTTCATAAATTTTGGAGGGTAATGAAAATAGCTTTGAATTTTGAAAATGATAAAAGTGGTGCCCTTGCTCAAGTAAGAAAGAGAAGAAGACTTGCCACGAGCAAAGAAGGCTCCAATAATTCAATAGTAGATTTCGCGAATCAAGTGTAATTTGTTGTCATACCTTTTTTTTCTCATAATTATGGAAACAATGAAAATACTTGTTTATTTTCTGAACAATGGAACATATGTTTATTTTGTTCATAAAAATGTAGGCAACACATATTATGTGTACCCTTAATCGTTCACCATCACATTAAATATAATCATTTCAAAATGCGACTTTATCATTTTATAATGTATAAAATTAAAAGTTAAAATGTACCAAGTCTCTGTATCTAAAGTGCAAACTTGCATTTTTGTAGTTTGTGAATTTGTGAAAAGTGCAATTATATATTCAACATTTTAATGTACTGGTCATGAACAATTCTTAATATTTTGATCTCTAGTTTACATATTTCAAATTTCAGCATGAATCTGCCTTCATATATTCGTGTGGCGTGACAAGAAATATATATTCGATTTAATTTACCGTCCCCCCTCCACCCATGTGTCCAGCGAAAGAGGGAGCGATCTATTTGTTCGAGTAAAAGAAATTATGGTTACACAGCACCGAGCCGAGACGCAAAAAAGAATTACCATTCATAAATTCTCCCCCATCGAAAGCAATTTGCTTGCGCTCGAGGTTAGGCAAATATTTAGACTGACGTCAGGGTGGGAATCGAAACGCACTTGTCGGGTTAATTGCAGGGTTGGGTCACCACGTGTAAAAAAAATTCCCATATTTTTTTTTTAATTAACTTTGCTAAACGTATAGATAATTTGGTCAAATTTTTTGAGCATGGACGTACCTAAGATATGGCTATCATTAGACGTAAAATCTAAAATAATTAAATTGAATTAGGTATGCACAGGGATTACGGCGTGTCAAGTCGTCAAGTCATTGTTCGTTATTAATTTCATTGAAAAGTTTTTTTTTTATATCAAGTGCAGCTAGTACGACCCTGCACACAGGTTTGGATCAACTCCGAAAATGGTAGCATACAATAGTTTATTTGGCACCAGAGGAGCGAATAGGAGCGCTGTATAATTAGGCAGGCGGGAGTAGAAAAAAATTTTTTGTTACCAACGGAATAACTGGGTATTTCGAATTACACTGGGAGTCTTTTATCAGGGATTACTGGTGGGCTGGACATTTGTTCGGGAGGTTCCAGCTTATTGTACAGTAAAATTAGGATGATGGTGGGTTATAAATCATGCCCATTTAAAATAAAAATTCGCTCACTGATAATGGAGGATTATTGGAATATTGTTTTTCCTAATCCCTTAATACCATGAACACCCACTTAACCATATTTTCTAATGTTTTAAGTAATTTTTTAATTATTTTGTCATTAAAATGTTTATTTATTTATTTACTCCAAAAGAACATTGAGGTGGAATATATCAGGTGAAATGGTAAGTGCTCAAAAATGACAACATAGCCATTAGTAGCATACCATTAATAAGGATCAAAAATAATTTTATTGACCGGATCTGGACGGAACTTTCCATGTTATTACCTTAGACTTTTCTGAAATAGAAATAGCTAAACGTTACGTTAGAAAAATATTCTTATTTTTTAGTAGTCTGTTGGGTATGTTTATTTTTCTACTTTGGAAAACACTTGCAAGTAATAATTCCTAATCACTTTCATACATAAAATTTTTATAATATACAGGGTGTCTCTAAAATTATACAAATTTCAAATTTTATGTTTCAAATGTCTAACGTAGTGTCTTGAGGATTCTATAATCGAAGCATTTGCAATTGTAAATGTATCCAATTGAAAATTGGATTAGTTTGGGAGATTTATTAATCTGCGGCGCTTAAATGTTTTGATTCGCTTAATAGGTTTTCCCAGAACTTTTAAATTTTGAGAAAATACTGTTGGCTATCTGTTATTGGTAAAAAACAAAATCTCAAATGGCCGCGCATGCGCATATTAATTCTCGTCTATGGTCAAATCGCACCTTTTTGTTTGATGCTTCTTTTTTATATACGACTTTAGTTTTGGTTAGTTTTTGGAAAGGCTAAGCCGCCTATAAAACTTTTTAAGTCTTTTCCGAAACATTTACGTCTTAACTTCGAAAGTAATGCCGAAATGTTTTTGATGGCTTTATTTTCAGAAGCGACACCGCTCAAGTCTAGTTTATAAAGTTTTGCCTTTTAACTCCATTTAAATTCAAGACGCAAGCTCGGTTTTCGTAATTTAACGGCAGGTTACTCATTACGTGTTACAAAAATTAATAGTTGTGCATTTTAAATCTAAAAAACATATTAAAATCAACTACAGTAGTGCTTTAAACACCGAATTTTTCTTGTTTAGACTATGTATATTCCATTCACCTTAAAATGCAAGGTTGTGTTGACTTTTACTATCACTGACACTTTCTATAGTTTACCATAAACTTCTTAATCTTCGAGGCCTCCAGAGACTTCATATGAAACTCTTCAATCCGGGAATTCCAGTCCCAGGCTTCTTGGTGCAATAGGACTGCACGTTTCAGCAAATTGCCTCCTTTGTTGATAGAATTCTGTTTTCAATGCTGTAAACATAATTTTTATTGATATTAATAAAATTATATTTTTGCAACTATATTTCAACATCTGTCAAAAATAATGTCAGTCCGCTGATTTTAAAAAATATATATCTCTGATTTCAGATTTCAAATTTTGGTAATTGATTCTTTACCGTAGGATCCAACATTAACAACAATATCCATTTAGTCATTTTGCTAACACCCACAACGCCCAATATCCTTGTTTTTGGTTAGTTTTAATTAGTTAGTTTGGGTTTCAATTTTGGTTAGTCCTAAAATGACTTTCAAAATAAAGGGAGTCTTAGAGTTTTAGGACATTTTGCGGTTCACAAACCGGTAATGTGCAAAAAATAATACTATAAAATAAGATGAAAAGAAAAGTCCACAGACATAACCGGTTTCATTTCTAGTTTTTTAATAATTCTAAATTACTTAGACCACTTCTTCACGTTCTACTTAAAATTACGTTCCTAAATTTGCCGTCTACCTTCAAGTTACGTGCTGTATAGATAAGTAAATAAATGGTGTGAACCAATTCCAGGTTATTTGGAACAAGGACTCCTTGTCAAAGACCCCAAAAAGCTACGCGCCCACTACTTTCAGTCGAAGTCGTGGAAAACTGACATTCTGGCCGTGCTGCCGACAGACGTTTCGTACTTGTGGTGGCCCCCGTACGAATGCCAGATCAAAGTGCCGTGTTCGGTTATAGTGAGACTGAATCGTCTGTTCAAACTTCCCCGTTTGTTGGAGTGGTTCGAGAGGACAGAAACGGACACAAATTATCCGAACGTGTTTCGAATATGCAAAGTGGTGCTCGCCATTTTGGTACTGATACACTGGAACGCTTGTCTGTATTTCGCGATCAGCTACGCGATAGGCTTCGGTACTGACAATTGGGTGTACAATCTCGACGGGCCTAAGAATTCGACATTGGCACGGCAATACATCTACAGTTTTTATTGGTCCACGCTGACCTTGACGACCATAGGCGAAACGCCGGTACCTGAGAACGACGCGGAGTATTTGTTCGTCGTCGCTGACTTTTTGGCTGGAGTTTTGATCTTTGCCACCATCGTAGGTGAGTAAAAAAAGATACCATTCGATAGGTTCCAATACTAATGTAAGATTCTATAGTTGTTCACGAGTATATAAGTAAGACTTTCTCACACATACATGAAGACAAGTTGCTACTCATTTAGGAATTATTCACCAACATGTAACTCGTGTGGCTATGTTCTCTACATGATTGGCCAAATTATAAAATTCTTTTATAAGTTGAAAGCATATTTATAAGTATCCACGACTATTCATAAATTTAAAAAAAAAACGCTATTTAACTATATTTTAAATTATGTATATTTAAATATATATAAAAATTTCGCATAAGTTTGACAAATTCGGCCCTAAATAAGTGTGCGGATTTCATTTGTCTAAAATTATGACGTACATTTTTCGAACTGCTCGTTCGGGACTTATACTCTGACGTACAATGAGAATTCGTATGCCTATTTGCTCTACACGATTCGTCATATATTTAATCACCAAGAACTCTATACGTTAAAAATATATCCATAAGTATGGGCTAACCAACCATCTACTATAACCAACTATAAGTTTGCGTCCTTGTAAGATCATAGTGAACATATTTTGACGTATGCAGAACGAGCACCAGATTCGATTCGTCATATTATGGATCTATTTTCTTATTTAGGACTTTCTCATACGATGAACATATATAGATAAGTACGCGTCTTTTAGACTATACGTTTTTCACAAAACCGGTTGTTGAAAAGTTTATTGAGGTGTAATTTAGAAACGCCTTTCAGTTTTTGGGGTTAAGTTAAGCCAAGTGTACTTCTTTTTAAAAATATTTTCAACTTCCTGTTGCTTGCGGTTCAACGGGAAGTTGTCAACTTGCTTATTTCAAACAGAATGCCCTGCATATTATTACATTTTGATATTCTGTGTTAAATTCTAAATATATTTTATGTATAACGCCCTATATGTATATCTGCAAGTTTTTGAAATATTTGATGATGAAAAAAAAAATGGTTACCTTTTTTGAAAATGCATATTTTTTTAGTTTTTCAAAATTTGAACCTCATATTTGGCGAAATGTTAAAAACGAGTCTTAAGTCGACATTGTCACTTACCTAAACCCCGATAATTGAAAATAGGTCAATAAATAAACATTTAATGAAAAACTCTATACAGATGGTCGCAAATTTTTGTAGCAATTTATCAAACTTACTAATAAGTAGTAATTATGCAGAACTTACCGATGACTTATTCGCAAGCTATATCAATTGTACAACTGTACGGACAGTCACAGATATTTCCGAAAAAAAAAATTAATCTTCTAAGCATGACGGCATATGCGTATATATTAGCAAGATTGCTTCCGAAAAATCGTCACTGGGCGGGGCAAGTTAGTAGCGCGAAGCAGCTTTTTATTATAAAAGGAAATAACTTCGCGATTTCGTGTGGTAAAGGGACGCATTGTTTTTCTATCGTGCTCCTGCGGACCACTATGGAACTTTCCCAAAATCGATGTAACTGGGCAATTACATGCACCCAGTGTAAAATGTCTTTCACATCTCATCGAACTTCAAAGTTACAGCAAACATCGCGAAATATTAAAATTGGCACAAATAATAGCGTGGTCGAATGATAGTTTTTTCAAATATCTCGCGCCCTGTATAATTGAAGAAACCTGAAACTCTCTCACGACACGGTTTACGATACTGTTCAAATAAAATCTTTAACGGTTGTTCATTTGTCGCCAACAATTTTCCCACAAAAACGGAAATGTTTAAGATATTTTAGAATTTTTGCCCATAAACGACACACCCTGTATATGATACAATCATTGTTCGAAGTAGAGGTTATAGCCCTGGATTTTCCACGCGTCCTTGAAAATAGTAAATGGTTTTCGAGAAAATAAGTTTTTTCCGAAACCATGCAGTGCGCCGTAATAATCAATGACGTCATCGCGTCTTGCCAGCCCCCGAAATTGCATTTCAATATGGATTTTTTCAAATATCCCGAGCGGCGTATGTGATAGACGAAAAACGCAAATACAAAGTGGCTCTTGATGCGCAATGCGGCCAATTTTCAATAATAGGGGGACCCATTTTTCAATTTTTTTGAATTTGCGGCGCACCCTGTATATTTTTGAAAAATTGTCAAGAATAAAAGTTCTTCTGCTTCTTGTTTCAAGAATTTTTTTGTCTCGTAAACAGTTTTTGAAAAATTATGTTTTGTGTAGACACTTGCAGACGCGATTTTTATTTTTTTTTAAATACTGATTTTTTTTTAATGGAGAAAGTGGTTTTCAAGAAAATACTTGCTTTCTGCAACCATGCAGTACTTCGTAATAGTAAGTGACGTCATTGCTCCTAGATTGAGGACGAGAAATGGTAATTTTCATTTGGATTTTTTCCAATATCTCGAACAGCGTATGTGATAGACGAAAACAGTGAATACAAAAATTGTAGCTTTCGATGTGGCCTATAACACTGTTTAAACCAATTGGTCATATTTTTCACGAAGTTTGATTTACGGCTAATAATTTAATATCGAAAAGAACGATTTTCATTATCTATTAGATTTTTGTCTATAATTGAAAAACCCTATTATACAATGGAAAAAATGCCTGAAATAAAGGTTATGGTCCCAGATCTCCTCCATTTCCTGGTTCATAAATGTTGCCGAATGGGTTAATAGTTTTCCAGAAAATAATGTTTTTCTGGAAGTCAAAATATACCAAAAAAAAATTCAAAAATTTTTAAAAAATACTTTGCGAGATTTGAGTAAATTCTTTTTCTGCAGATGATGTGTGGGCTTCTACCCTTTTGCCAAATCTGAAGTCGATAACTGCAAATTTAAGACATCTGTTAATTTTTGAATATAGCACTTAATATCTTCAACACCCTGTGCAACAGGTGAAAACCTTAAATACAAAAGTTTTCGCTGTTTATGTAAGATGGACTGACATCCGAGGCACAGTCTTTCAGTTATAGCAAATGTTCAATAATTTTTCAGTTTTTTTGAATTTGCGGCGCACCCTGTACATGTTTTAAAAAGCATTCATGAATAAAATTTTATTAAGCCGAATCTTATGCGTCTTCGCAAAAAGAATCGATTTCATCGATTTTTCGAAAGTATTTGCATATATCCTCCACACTGTGGTATGATTCATCACATAATGCATGTATGATCTGATAAAAACGTATTCAAAAGTATACAGACATATTCTAGGGAAAACCAACTACTAAAAACAAGTATAGAGAACATAATCACAATAAGATATGCAAAGTTCAATCATCTGTAAGAGTGAGATTTATCATAGGCATGCATGAATATTCATAAATATGCGCACTGAAAATAAACACTCATAACCATTGTAAGAATGTCAAAATTGAAGGCTGATTCACTAGTGATCTAGTGGACGGTAGTCCCGTAAAAGTTCACAGACTGACGTAAAGATTAACGTCACATCAGAGAACTGACGCCCAAGTAAGGAAAATTGTTATTGATTCTCAATAATTCAATCACCAATATTCTATATATTTACGACCCGCACACATATGGGTAATAGGTACTTATTCTTACTCGTTCCTAAAAGATATCGTTTTACCAATTTAGTGTTTATTGAGATTATAAAAGATCCCTTATTATGTAGCGGACCAGTGGCGTGCGGAATGTTTTACGAGGTTTTCTTCTCTTAATAAAAAATGAACGACTATGGGTCTCAAAAGCTATCTTTACTCCGCGAATGTTTTCGTTTGTTATCCAAAGTTGGAATTCAAATTTTGATTTTGGTTATTTTGAATAATAAAAGCTTTTCGCGTTTATGGAACGAATGACGTCGGTAGCACGGCACTGCTAACGATTAAATGGCGCTATGTGATTTGAATATAAAAATAAGCGGAAGGATATGGTTTAAGTGAGCCTTAATACAGCTCGTAATTGCAATTTTATGTGCATAATCGTAAGCCGATATTAAATGACAATGCATACGAGATTTTATTTAATATGATTCTAAAATTGTTCGTCAGCGGCGGTCGTAAATGTGGGCACACACAAAAGCCGCCTGTTGTACAGGGTGTTTTGTGCGATGCTGCTAACAAACTCAAACAATTTATATTTTAAAAATAATATACAAAGACGGATTAATACTTAAACGAGTTATAGAATTTCTGGCTGGTCACTATAATATATAAGCATTTTTTTCTTTGCAATAAGTAAAAGGAAAAAAGAAGAAATTTAACACCCTATAACTTCAAAGACACTTGATAAACACCAATACACAGTGGTCTCAATGGTTTCGTTAGAAAAAAATTCAATTAAAAAGATGGAAGGGCGCATGAGCACTTTATTTATAAACACATCGAATGGAGGGAAAGACATAATTTAATATAACACTAGAGTTTCGACAGATTTTTGGTAGATTTAGGTCGCTATAAGCACTTACTAATGTGCTCGTAATATGGGTCCTCGGATAGCGCTAGTAAAATAAGCATTTCTCTTGCAGAGTATAATTTTAATGAAACATGCTCCATTCTATCTGTAAATCATAATAATTCAGAGAAAAGGATGTTAATATCCCCTGCTAATACCAGGGTTACATCCCGCTCGGTTTCCTCCGCAAAATAATTGTTCACGAAGGTAATTGTCTTCTCATTTGACGAAAATCTTGGTCCTTCGAGAGCAGTTTTCAGATGAGTGTACAAAAAGAAATCGCTTGGGGCTAGATCTGGTGAGCAAGGCAGTTATGAGAGTTGTCTTGGTGAAACAGCATTTTTTTTTTGCAAATGTGGATATTTTCCTGAAATTTCTGTTGTCAGATTGTCAAGTAATGATGCGTAATGATTTTTCCTGTTTGAAGGTAATCGATTAAGATGTTTCCATGGCTATCCCAAAAAACAGTCGCAATGACTTTCCCTGCCAAAAAATAAGTTTTTGATTTTATCAGAGTCGGGTCCCCCTTTTTTACCATTGACTCACTCAAACGACTCCAAACTAAAAAGCACACATCCAAAATGGCTGAAACTTTGGCAAATAACTATCTAGAGA